CCGCCCGCGGGCGGGCAGGGGGCGACGGGCGGGCTGGCGGCGGTGCTGGGCGCGGAGGAGGACGCGGAAGGGCTGTATGTGGCGGTGGAACGCTGCCCGCTCTGCAACACCACGCGTCGCCGCCTCACCTGCGCCAAGTGCGTGCAGGGTGGAGACTTCGTCTTCTTCGACGGCCGCGACTCTGAGAGGTACCGGGGAAGGCTCCCCTCCTCCCGCGCGAGGGGGGGCGGGGAGGCCTGGCGCGGGCCTTGGGGTGTCACCTTCCTACCCTGGCGGTGAGACCTGCATCGGGGGTCGTCGAGAAGCGGGGCTGGAGCAGATTGACCCCTGGAGGCAGGGTCTGTCCCATCCCGAGCGACCTCTACGACCCCTCGTGTATGGCGCTCTGCCCTGACACGGTAGGGGAACCACAAGAGCCCATGTCCTGCTTATAGATTCATAGATGTTAGGGTCTGAGGGGAGCTCAATAGGCCATTGAGTCCAACCTCCTGCCCTGGGCAGGAAAGAACACTGGGGTCAGATGCCCCCAGCTGGGGGTTTTCAGGAGGAGACTGGACAAGCACCTAAGGTAGGGGAGAGTACCATCTCCCTTGGGAGCCTGTTTCAGATTGTGGCAACCCATACTGCAATACTGTCCAACCTAAATCTGCTGTCCATCAATTTGTGGGCATTGTTTCTAGTTACTCCAAGGGGTCCTTGGTAAACAGAGCTTCTCCTATTCCCTTCAGCCCTCCCCTGATGAATGTGTAGGCAGGCACAAGATCACCTCTCAGCCTTCTCTTGCGCAGGCTGAAGGAGATCCAGGTCCTTCGGTCTCTCCTCATAGGGCCTTGCTTTCAGGCCATTAACCATACAAGTGGCCTCCACTGAACCCTCTCCTGATTCTCTGTATCCCTCTTGAAGTGTGGCGCCCAAAACTGGACGCAGTACTCCAACTGCGGCCTGACCAGTGCTGCATAGAGGGGAAGCATCACCTCCCTGAACCTGTTCATCATGCATCTGCTAATGCATGATAAAATGCAGTTAGCCTTGTTGATCACTTCGTCACATTGATGACTCACATTCATCTTGGAGTCAATTATGACTCCAAGATCCCTTTCTGCTGCTGTGCTGCTGAGAAGGTCATCCCCAAGCCTGGAAGTGTGTTGGTGGTTCTTTTTGCCCAGGTGCAGCACTTTGCACGTGTCTTTGTTGAACTGCCTCCTATTTCATTCTGCCTGGTTTGCCAACCTCTCCAGATCCACCTGGATCCATTCCCTACCCTCTGGTGTGTTAACTTTGCCCCATAATTTGGTATCATCTGCAAACAAGGTGCTCTCCACACAGGGTGCTTCTTGGACAGGGTACTTTTATAAAATGTTCATAGATTTCATCAACATCAGGGCTGGAAGGGACCTTATGAGATTGTCGACGTGCGGTCAAGAGAACTGGGTAGAGGACCACAGCCCCTGCTACAGAGGAAGGCAAAGCCCCCCAGAGTCCATCCCTGTTTGACCTCAGGGTAAAGTTCATCCCCAAGCCCAAATATGCCAGTCAGCCTGACACTGAGTGAAGATGCTGTAGACAGGAGCCTCTGGTTGTGCTCCTAGTAGGAGGATTGGCATACTCCAGTCTTAGCTGTAGCCAATATCCAGTGCTTCTAGGGAGGCTTAAAAACACACACATACAGTGAGAGAGAAGATTGCTACATAAGGTTTATATTGAGAGGGAACCTAAGAACTGGCTCAGACTTTAGGTCCATCTTGCCCCGTCTCCCAGGTCTCACAGCGGCAGTGAGTAGAGGCTGAAAGGAAGAATGAACTGAGTCTGGCCAGGGTTTTTTTTTTTCCCTTGTCACTCTCTCCCCAGCATTTCGGGTCTAGGAAGCTCTGGCTCGGAACTGGTGCCCCCCACTGTCAGGCTTCATAGGGACAGATGCCCCTTTCCCCCAGGAACGGCCCAGTCCATTTTGGAATCTGGATTCTACAGTGTTGTGAGAACATAAGAACTGTCACTGACGGGTTAGACCGGAGGTCCATCTTGCCCCTGTGTGACAGAAGATAATGAGCAAGTGGAAGCTGAGAGAGGGAGCGACCTGGGTCTGAACAGTTTCCCATACCCCTCCTTCCCCCTTACTGTCTCACTGGCAGCTTCTAGCATTTCAGGTGTAGGAAGCTCTGATTTAAGCTGTGCCCCTCACTCCCAGGCTCTGTAGCAATGGATGCCCCTTTCTTCCAAGAATGGGTCCAGTCCATTTTTGAAGCTTTTCAGATTCATTTTGAGTGAACCCAAGCTCACTTCATCAGCTGCTGGAAAAGGACAGGGTAGAGCAGAGAGTAAAATGGAGTGAGCCATTACAATACAACAGGTGGGGCAAGGTGGGAGAGGGAACAAGCAGAGAACCCCTAGGGACAAAATGCATCACCGAAGCTTTCCCCAGCTCATGGGATAAGAATCTGTCATCCCTGTTTAAACCATACAACACAGTCCAGTTTGCGGACAGTGTTAGAAGGGGTCATTGGGAGTTGTTCTGTGTTTGTGCACCAAGAGAATCTTCCCCCTGCTTGGTGTACCGCAGTGTGGTGTAAGGTGGCTGGAGCCAGGGTAGGGAGCTCACAGAGCTCTGAATGGTTTTGCAAGGGCTGGACCAGAATGCCCTCTGCAATCCTCTGCACTGTGACTGTCTATCGCTGTGAGTGATAACCGTGTACAAGGGCATCCGATATCGCATGTTGTAACATAGGGCTCCATAACTCAGAGTGTGGCATTTAAGAAAACTCCAGGCAACATGGGGGGAAAAAACAATAGTGTGTGTTAAAATATACGTAAGTATATATTCTACATTAAACCAGTGTTTTCTAAAACTATCAAAAACATCTCACTTTTGTGGGAAAACCATAGGTTTTACTTCCATCCACTTGCATTTTTTGCACTTTTTAGAATTGTTAAAGTCTTTGCCCTGTTTCAGTTAATTGCACACATCCATACCTAAGCATTTCTTAGTTACTGAGTGTCTAGAAGGTTGTTACATAAATATTAAGACTTCAAACAGTATTCTGGTTACATAGTGGAGGTGCAGGTCAATTAACTTCATAGGCCGTTTTCAACCACTAAGCTGGTGTCTCAAATAAAGGTGACTTGCTGTGGTTCCTTAAAAGCAGTTAGCACAGCACTTTGTCTCAAATAGTCACAATTTTTGGATTATGTCCTTACCATACTTATGGTTCTTCACTAAAAAAAAAAAAAAGGCAGTCAACAGCTGTTAAACTATTTTGGAAAGGTGGCAAACAGTGTTTGCTTATGTGGGTCGTTGCATTTGGGTGGAGAATATCATGTACCTTTAGGTGTAAGAATAGACAAAGAAGTGACCATCTCTTTCCCAGTCAGCTGAGTCTTAAGAACAGATGCATACAGCTACTAGCCAGCTTCCTGAAAATATTTTTCTGCCCTCGTTACAGGAAACTTTCTGTAGATATCTACTCAGTAAACTGTATGCTTTGCATGCTGTATGCTGGACCTTATCTGGAGCTAAATTGAGCCTATCTTCAATAATATTCAGGTTCAGAAAGTCCACTCGTGCACTGATCTGCAAACTGGTCTGCACATATGCAGCCTGAAGATATATTCCACTGAATGGGTCTCAGTGGAGTCCCAGTAAAGTCACTGGGCTTTGCTATGGCCAAAAAAGGTCAGCCAGTAGGCTCATAGAATTGGGGCCTTACTCTGCAACTTGACATTCTGTCACAGATCCACAAAGCTATGTATTAGTTTTCCTAAAATGGATCAGAAACCCATTTGTTTAAGGCTGTTTGAAGTTACCCAATGCTTCTGTAAATTAGCTGGTTGGGGTTTGTTCTTTTGCTTGTTTGTTTGTTTTTTGCCTTTACTCTTGCCATAGCTTTAAGAGTTTGTCCAAATAAATAAAAGCTTATAATGGAAACTCAGTTGTGATCTTTACTGTGGAGTGACTGCTCTCACTCCTTAATAACCAGTGACACAAAGTTGGGAGTAATTGCCAGTAGGGAGGTTGTTTGGTTTCTTGTACAGGAAGAATTAGAAAACTATGTGGAATGGAGCAATGGAAATGGAATGATTTTAAATTGTATGAAGTCATATGTGATCACTAAGAACATTTGCTATAAGTGGAGACTGGAGGGTGTGGAAAAGGATCTGGATAATATAGGCTGATCATAGGATGATTTTGAGCTGTCAGTGTGATATGGCAATGATAAAGGCTAATACAATTCTAAATTGTATTAGAGTATTTTTTAAAGAGACAGGGAAGTGTTATTACCATTGTTAAAAGCATTAGTAAGGCCTGTTTTTAATTTTGTGTACAAGTGTACAACATTCAATTAAATTGGAACAAGAACAGAGAAGGACTACTTTGGGTGGTTAGGGGAAAGGATAACCCATCTCATGAGAGGAGATTAAATGAGCATGGTTTTAGCTTGGCAAAACAAAGACTGAAAGAGGATATTATTTTTTTATAAATATTTTCACACGGTGAATATTAGGGAGAGGAGAATGATGTAAGCTACAGCTAATGGATACAGACCAATAAAAACAAATTAAGATTAGAAGTTAGAAGGTTTCCAACTATTAGACAAGTGGACTTTTGCAATATTCTTTTGAAAAAGCGGTGGGACAAGGTATCTAAATTGCTGTCATAAAGAACTGGACAAATTTATGGAAGAATACAGTGTTTCTGAAATGCTGATTGAAGCATGTGATATGGATTTGAGCATTCAGTATTTATGATGACTGTGAAAGGAAATTATATCTCTATGCAGGATGTATCTGGCAGTTGCATGCTTCATGGCTTCTGCTGAGTACCTCTAAGGAAAGTAAGACTTTTTCCTCTCTCCACACTCCCCATGAATGTGTTATTTTGATTTTAGGGGGTTTCTACCTGCTTCTGAGGCACTGGACATTGGGCACAACTAGAGATATGAGTTTGCCTGGAACATGCTGGTATTCCTAATAAAACTTAGTAGCCTCTCTCTGGAACCTGAATAGTAGATCTTGAGCTCGTACATTCAGGATTGGACCATGTGGCAGATTTGGAGTTGGGAGTGAACCATTTGTTTGCTTGCCTTCCTCTGTAGTACAGGATGTGTTCTTCTTCCAATGAGTATTTGAGCATATTTTCAACTAACAAGTCCCCTGGCCCTGCAGTGGCAAGGCATTAGCAATACCCTTGTCTGCA